CTGTTAATAAAAAAGTTACGAAACAAATTTTTTTCATTTTTTTTCTGAAATTTTAGACCTACTGATCTAATTGCACTGATTACGGTATTGTAAGAAACAGCACAGTAGTAATATATACGTAGAGAAAGATACGAAGACGTCGAGCAAGATACCAAGACGTCGAGCATAGAGACAAACCAGTTGCAAATTGGAATATTACTCAGTCGATACCTCACATGATCTACATGTGTGATTCATGTCAATCAGGTGATTACGAAAGGTGAACACGGATTCATCAACAGAATAATTAGAGCCATTTTCGATCCAGAGGCATGTTTTCGTTCGTATACACGTACTCGAAACGTTGCGCGAATTTGCATTGGAAATGTGGCCTATCTGAATATACACCCGGGTAATTTACTGCGTTTCAGTGATTGTTTTAAACTTGCACCATTGCCAAAACGTGAATGCGTTATATCTACGTGAAATGTATGTTGATACCGTGCAGTTCGCATGTTAAGCGGAACCTGGTATTGATGCTTTTCCAACTAACAGGGTTAGTAGTTTGTATATATAGGTTTGTATTGAATGACCCTATACAGCAACCTCCTAGAACCTGATTCCAACTGAATTTCGACACTTGTAATTCATCTCGCCTCGTCGCCATACAATCGACTCCCTACGCTAATTTTGACACTGTGATGACAATTTAGCTATAGAAAACAGTTGGAATCAGGTATAAAAATCGTCTAGGAGAATCACAAATAAAATCGCAATCAATTTCAAGGGTTGAAATCCAATTAGAATCAAGCACCAAGGTCACAACATTTACGTAAGCCTCTCATTAAGCCTTGCCTGAACATAGTACGTACCAAGACGAAATCATTCAATAAAAGTCGTCAGTATTCATTAGACAATCGCAGTCGCCATGAAAGATGTTTGTAATGCTTGTGATATATGACGTCGTGTGGTCGACACGCAAGCATACACACAATCTATTCGTCAAGCATTTTGCACAAGCAAAACAAGTAATGGAACGCGACAACTTACATGACGATTAAAGACTGTACAAGTAAAACGTAGCAATGGCATAAGTACCTGTGCCAGTCTTAATGCATTGAACGCCCGTCTAAGAGACTCAAGGATACACATATTTTATTTATTTCGATGCATTGCACGCCAGGCAAACCTAACATGTATAATTTAACACATAATCATGACTGACAGCGCTAAATAATAAGTTAACCTACATGGGTATCAAATGAAATTGTGCATGTAAATTCAGATAAAAACCAAGAAGATTCAACAACATATGTACAGTATGTAAACCTTTTGTACCGCACAAGCTGACATTGAATAAGGAGCGAATAGTTGGTAAAAACGTAATTGAAATGCATACATTGGAATAGGGGTAGAATTCAATTTCTATTTCGACTCCGCTATAACGTGATTCAACATCTCATGTTAAACTGCAAGTATCAAATAAAAAGAGTTAAAGTTAGAAATATGAATTTTTATATAAAAAGTAAACTGCTTTTTTCTCGGTGAAAATAGAAACATTCGCTGAACTAAAAATATTCCCCCATTCACATGGTTTTTCCGCACAATGCTCCATTACCTTTTTGTGAAAAACACTTTTGATCATTTTCTGTATCTGTACATGCGAATGGGTACATAATGTCTGTATCTAACCCTATCCGTCGCGTAGCGATGAATCCGTATCCGAATATACAAAAAAACTCTAAACTCGTTACAAAACCTCAGCATATACAATATTACAAAGCAACGCAACTTCCTAAAAAATATGCAGAACTTCTGGGCAAGTTGTAATGAGAGATCGATACTCCGCAAGAAGCTGCTACGCTTGTTGTGTCGCATGGATGTATAGCCGTCTGCAGGTTACACGTTTCACGAGGGTTGATCCATGTGCTCCACCCCTAACACCTTTGCAAACGATATTTGAATGTTGCTGTCAGTAAAACAATATCAGTAATCTATGTTAACAGAATAATAAGTTTATATGCCAAACTGGTTTGACCGAGTGAATGTGAGCGGCGGAGATGCCCCGCAAAAAAGACAGATGCCCGTTATGCGATGCGCGACCTCGTGACGTCGGTCGTTGGCCGTTGCGCTACTGTGACATATTGTGTATGCTGTAACCTAGCATTGTTTGCTAGAGACAAAACCCCAGCGTGGGATGGTCTGGTATGCGTATAACGATATAGGTGTACCCATATAATAGGAAGAAGGAAACACAATGGCGGAAGCGGGGCAAATGTAAAGATAAAGAGGAGCGTACTGGATAAACATGTGGAATGGGAACCGAAACGTGAAACGGCCAGACAGCGTCGTCTCATTTGTTTAAAGTTTCGAAAGACTTGTGAGTCCAAGAATAGCTGAATATGGTTCGTAACCATATGAATTATACAAGAATTGTACAACTGTATTATACAACTCAAAGGTCATAGAAAGTAAATGGCTACACACAACTGGAAATAATGATATAGCTCAAATATCTTCATAATGAGCAGTTAATACTGTTTCATCACGATGAAACCCTGTGACCGTTACTGAAGTGATACAAATGACAGATGGTGGAAGGATTTCAATAACTTAGTAAGTAGCATTTTCGAAGAATATCGCATTAGGCAGGAAATAACAATAAAGCAACTGTCCATACTACGCATAAGCGAAGGAAGGAAGACAATTTTCGTTCGTTTACCCTTTCATCTTTTGTACTCATGACATTGGAGACGTGTGCGTACCTGGCTGGGAAATCGATTGATCTGGCCTTACATAATCTGGTCGGTAGACTGGAGAAGACTCCAGAGCGAGAAGTGGCTCTTGTGGCCTTTTTGCACATTTACAACCGACCCTATTGAAGCATCCTAGTTGATTGGGTCCTATCCACTTTTTAGGGTTGGGAAGTAACAGCTATGCTGCAGCACCATTGTAGCTCGGGGCTGTCCGCAGGGCGGAGTTCTGCCACCCCTATCGTGATACCTCGTGGTGAACGATCTCCTCGTTAGGCTCGGCAGTACGGGTGTTTATGTGCAAGCCTGTGCTGACGATTTAAGCACAGTGGTTAGGGGTCATTTTTGTAGAACGGTCTCTCAGATTATAGAGGGTGCTCTGCGCGCTGTGGAATCGTGGTGTAGGGAGGCCGATATTTCTGTCAACGCTGAAAAGACCGAGCTGATTCTATTCACTAGGAGAAGGAAGCTTGACGGGCTTGTCTTGCCGATCATCATTGGAACTAGACTAGTTCTATCCCAACCAGGAAAATATCTAGGAATTAGCCTGGACTGCAAACTGAACTGGGGAGGGCATGTTGAGTACAAGGTGGACAAGGCTCGCAATGGTGAGGTGGGAGCTTAACCCAAAGTGGTATTCTTGCTCTATACAACGACAATACGTCCGTCTCCTATGTACGCCTCCCTGGTTTGGTGGCCATGCATTGGAACCGAGACAACTAAGGCCAAACTCAATAAAATTTGGCTTTTGGCTTGTATCAGTATTACAAACGCAGTGCGAAAACGCCATTAAGTGCAGTGGAAGCTCTGCAGGATCTCCCACCGTTGGATCTAGTGAGCTACATCGACTGTGCAGTCAGGGCAGCTGGGCCTTTTTGAATCCTGTCAAGGGTCACACTCCCACATTAGTCGAACTGTAAAGAGAGCAGGGGTGATCTGATCGCCCCTAGATATCGCTTCAATTGCAAGTTTAATGTGGAGTATCTAACGAGGGCGGAGTGGGACTCCGGATACCGAAAGGTCTTCGAAGGGAGTGGGCAGGTTTGGTACACGGACGGCTCGGTCACTGAAGAGGGCTCTGGTGCCGGAGTCTTTGAGCCTAGAACTAGACTATCTCTGCCTCTCGGTGGATATACCATTATTTTCCATCTTTGCGATTCTGGCTTACGTATCCTTTTTTTTGGGGGGGGGGGATGCCTAGGAGAAGAATGACAATATTCTCTGACAGCCAGGTTGCAATGAAAGCACTAAGTGCCTGCAAGATTACTTCGAGCCTTGTATTGCAATGCAGGGAGGCTCTGGAATAGTCTAGTAGTGAGGCATCCGGTGTCGTTAGTGTGAGCGTTCCGGAGGGCTATTATGTAAAAAAATATAAAACGTCAAAAAAAGAACGACGAAATGTCATATCTTGCAGACTGGCTAGTTTTTAGTGTGCAAATATACAAATAAAGTTCACTCCTCGTGTGCGCGCTATAGTCTCTGTTCGCTGACGTTCAAGCAACACGTACAGCGACAAAACGAGTTCACCACAAGTGTACAACAGCTTCTGCTAAGTTAACATCTTGTAGAAAAACCTAAGTTATGTCATAAAAAACCTACGAAATGTCAAAAAACCGACGTAATGTCACTTTTCAAGTTAAGTAATACCCGGGACACGCTGGGATAAAGGGCAATGATATAGCGGACGCACTTGCGAAAGCAGGATCACCGAACAAGCTCTTTGGTCCTTCCGGCTCTTCACGGTATGCCTCTAATTTCAAACGCGAATCCTAAACTTTGTTTAGAAGAAGAATCTTATAGTACTACGAGTACATCTTCAAATCCTATCATACCAAAATAATAACAAAAATATCTATTTTGTTTAATACATCAGCGGAAAATTGCACTAAAATGATTAGAGCTCTTAAAAATGTAAGTAAAACAAAAAATGCATGAATATACAACGTTCTATTGGTTTTTAGAAAGTATGGGGCCCTCGTACACTTCCATTGAAAGAATAATACTAATAAAAAGAATATAATCAGAGCGAATTCCTGGAAAGTAGAGTCAACCAGTGGCGTAGCGAGAGGGGGGGTCCGGGGGGTCCGGACCCCCCCGAAATATCAACACATTCAAAAGTTTCGACTGTCTAGCTCTCACGGCAGCCGCGCCCGCGGTCAAACACTAGTGGAAGCGCTACTGAGCGACTGCCGCGCCGGCGCTGTTCCGCTGTTCCGCTGTCCGCCTTTACGGTACAGTTGAAGCTTTGCATGTGGGCGGATAAGGTAGACAGTGACGTGATGAGCCGACGAGTGTTGCTCTTTTGATGTTTGGTTCACGCTAATGACTCAAGTTTATATTGTAATCTTCACTACAGCTTCTTTTAAAAATGAGTAAGAGAACCATAGATCAGTTTTTTAAACCAAAAACCTTAAAAACGGACCCGGTATCAAGTGACAAAGTGTTAGTTCCGCTGTTGCCACGAAAAATAGAAGGAACCACTATTGGCTCGATAGAAGAAGAAAGCATTACGTTGACTCCAGATCCATGTTGTTCATCGTCTTGTGACCAATCCAGAAATAGTAGGCCTACAGATTCCCAAGTAAGCATTGGCCTAACCTCTGTAGATATTGGCATAGTTTCCGACCATTTATTCCACTCCACAACCAGATTTGGTAAAACTACGGATTTGAAAAGTAAAGTGCTGAATGACTTATGTTATCCGGATGAGAATTTTAGCTTTCCAGTAACCGTGATCAACAATAAAAAATTAAAGTTTCAGAGGACCTGGCTAAAAAGGTTTAATTGGCTGGCTTATTCTAAGGCTAAGGATGGAACTTACTGCAAGTTTTGTGTGTTATTTGCCAATGAGTTCACTGGTAAAGGCCAACACCAAAAATTGGGAGCCTTAGTAACCATGCCTTTTAGAAAGTGGAAAGACGCAATAGATAAATTCACCTCTCACAGCAACTCTGAGTACCACAAATTTTCTTGTCTAGCTGCAGAAAACTTTATGAAGGTCGACTCTCGCCGAATGGAAGATATCACAGTGATGTTGGATTCGCAGAAGAGAAAAGAAAGAGAACAAAACAGAGCTTCACTCAAGCCTATAATTGACACAATTATATTATGTGGAGAAAATGAAATACCTCTTCGGGGACATCGGGACAGTGGGCCACTGACGCCCGAAAAACCTTTAGAAAAGGAGGGCAAATTTCGAGCCTTACTCAGGTACCGGGCAGTCACCGATGAAAGTTTTAAAAAACACATTTTTAACTCTGCACGAAATGCAACCTATATAAGCCCTGAAATCCAGAATGAGATTATTGTCATTTGTTTAAAACTTATACAGAAAAAAGTGGTTCAGTCTGTAAACAGTGCAGAGTGTTTTTCCATTTTAGGAGATGAAACGCTTGATGTGTCTGGGAAAGAGCAGTTTTCACTTTGCATTCGGTACATTTTGAATGAAAACAAACCGATCCTTAAAGAAGATTTCATTGCATTCACCCACATAACAGATTTGTCTGCTGAAAGCATTTATGAAACTATTTTAACAATTTGTGCAAGTGTAGGTCTCAACATGGATAAAGTCATTGGTCAAGGGTACGATGGTTGTTCAACGTTTAATGGACATTTGTCTGGCGTACATCAAAAATTTCGGGAATCACACCCCAAAGCTATTTATGTGCACTGTGTTGCACATCGTCTAAATTTGGTGTTGAGTGACTCCTTAGACATGCCTTACATAAGGAATTGTTTGGGAACTATAAATGAAGTGGCCAATATGATGAGAAATAATACTCAAAGCGGTGATATTCTAAAGAGGTATATTGAGAATCTTGTGCCAGAAACTCAAAAAAGCCGCCTCCTTCGCCTGTGTGATACAAGATTCATCGAAAGACAAGATTCTGTCCATACATTTGTCGAAGTATTTCCAGCCATAGTTGCTACTTTGGAAGAGTTATCTACGTCCAATAGAGCAATATCGTCTTCAGCTGCCAATCTTCTAGCCTCTATCGAAAAAGGAAGTTTTCTCGTTGCAATGGTGGTGTGTGAATTCATATTCAGCATCACCCTTCCTCTTTCAAAATATCTCCAGAAACCTGAGAGTGACCTGTCATCTGCCCTAAAATTTGCTGATGACACGGTTGAACGTCTGAAGGATTTGCGTAAACCATCCGAAAATGGAGACAGCAGTGATATCAGGCAATTCCATCGGTTATTTGAAAAGGCTGAAAAAATGTCTCAAGATAATTTTAGAACAGCAATTGTTGTGCCCCGGCTAGTGGGGAAGCAAACTAAAAGAGACAACCCCCCTTACTCTACTCCTGAAGAATATTATCGTCGATCAATATTCATACCATGTGTAGATTCATTGATTTCTAATTTGGTTGAGCGGTTTGGGAAAAACAGAGATATTTTGGAAGCTCTAGATTGTTTACTCCCAAAGAATGTAAAAGAAACAAACATTCACAAACTGAAAACACTGAAGCTGTTGTACGATAGTCAGTGGTCTGATTGTGAGGTCGAGGCAGAGTATATGCTGTGGAATTCAAAATGGAGAAATATACAAGAATCTGAAATTCCTAAGAAAATCATGTCGGTTCTAGATGCCTGCGATAAAAGCTTCTACCCTGCTATCAAATATTTGCTCCAGGTAACTATTTATTATTATACAACTAAGTAGGCATGTATAAGTTTATTTTAGTACTGTTTTACATTATTGAAAAATATTCAAATCAAGACGATTTATAACGACAAATAGTGAAATGAAATATTGATCGAAAATAAAACGGGAAAACATTTAATAATCCCCAACTGATTTCTAGCCAAAACTAAGAGAGATCAAATAGAACTTACAACAAATAACTTTTCTATTGTAGGTGCTTGCTACATTACCAGTTTCAACAGCAGAACTAGAGAGATCATTTTCATCTCTCAAAAGAATTAAGAGCTATCTGAGGAATTCCATGAATGACCAACGATTAAATGGGCTTGCTCTTCTGTCAATTCACTATCCAGCTCCAATCAACAGTGACGAAGTTATCGATGAAATGGCCAGATATGGAAATAGGAGATTAGTGCTGTAACTTAGGGCATCATTTTGTTAATTTATTCATTCGACTAATCTTAGAATGTTATAAAGACATTCTAACTAAAATGCTCTACATTTGTTGTTTTTCCAGCATTACTTATGGTTTTTAAAAAGTTTAAAGCTCCGGATAAGTTACAGCACTATTTTTATGTTTATTTAGTTAAAACAGAATTACTACTTTTGTTCATCATAAAATAAATAAAAATATTAAGAAAACCTGAATTTCTAAGAAGTTTTTTCGATTATGCAGTGTTAAAATGGATTTATGCCATCTATTCCTTACCGTTTTTAAAAAAAAATCCCGGACCCCCCCCCCGAACGAAGTTTCTGGCTACGCCACTGGAGTCAACCTGTTTAACTTCATTATCTGTAATTTCTATCATAGGAATTGAACAGCTTCATTCCCAATAATAACAATCATAGGTGTAGAAGTCAAGCAGATGAACTATATCTGCCTGATCAAAACAACACAAAATAAATTTCTGTTTTACAACTGACAACGCGAATATTAAAACAATAGATAAAGTTAGTATAAATACTGTAGGCTGCTATGATGTTCACTGTTATTTATTTTTCGGAAATATTTCTTTCCAGCGAAGCCACTTACGTCTTTTAACTTTCAAAGAAATAAGAGTTTTTTCTGATCTTCTGCAGACTAAGTTGCATCGCTGACTTTTATTACACGCAAGTTTGGTTTGTTGTTTAAACTTCTACATCTATCTCATAGCTCATAGCTCTACTTATTAAGTTATGAATATTTATCGTAGGAGTAAAAACTTTGTGACGTCATTTCCTAAGATAATGAAAAATTCATATGAAATGATATGAACACTGAATGAGGCTACAGTAGAACACTTTGTTCTTGGTATAACTAGATATTGCAACAACTGCGCGATAAAGAAGTTTCAGGCATAGATTTCATAAGATTTCTACTTCAATAACTCAATAAGTAGAAACATGGTATATGAGATATTCGTAGAACTAGAAATAACAAATAAAACGTGTGATAACCAGCAACAAAATTCGGTTATCAATAAAGTAGGATATTGTTGAACATGAAATTCAAGGTTGGATTATATGAACGCAGATTGGAGGACTTATTGTTACTTTATTCGAATGAAATACAAAATTTGGCTCTATGATGTTTCCATATTCAATGTAAAGAATTGAAAGCGAAGTTACTTTTAAGAATATCACATAGTTTGCAAGATATCCGACGTTGTCGCGGTGCTGAAAGAGTCCAAATTTTGTGATTTTACCTTTAATGTTCGGATCAAAACCTTCCCAAAAGTAGTGACTGAATAAAAATCATCTAGAGGAATAATTAAGTAATTTTAAATACCTCATCAGAATGCTATGCCTTTGTGTAAATCTTGCGTCTAACAAAAACAACCCATATGCGTATTCCGTATGGGTTTGCCCGGTGGTCATATTGGCTATAAATATCCACTTTGAGTATATAAACTGCCCGTTTGTATCCCTGCTGAAGCTATCAATCAAAATCACTGTCTTGAAGTCTCTCAAAAATTAGCCTGCTTCAAGCTTTGCATCTACGGAGGTAGTGATACTTTTTTTAGATAAAAAGATAGTTTCTAGTGTTTTTTTTAACAGCATCAACGGCGAGCTGTATAATTCTTCTGGAAAGTATGAGGAATAAGAGCAGGGATCCGGAAGCCAAAACGTCACAAATCTAGAGGATCAATCAAATGTGGCTGCTGTAGCTGCCTACGTAAAATATACTCACTTGGATAATTAGGCTGTGCTCAAAGAAAGTTGATTTTAAGGAAGTTACATTTAAGTTAGCATGATACGGTGTTAGTACGCCAAATGATATAGGGGAAGGTGAGCGAATCGTCGAGAAAAGTCAAGGGGTGGTATGTCCGATTTTTGTAATTATGATGTTTACGTAATGGAAAATCATCAACGTAAAAAAATATTTAAGCCTTCAATTTCCAATCAGACGTTTCGAGGGATGAACATTTTAGTTTTATTCAAATGCATTTTTCCATTTCCCGAAGCATATTGAAAGGAATATAATTTTGCCTCAAACATTTTTGTGCTTGTCCGGAATTCGCATAGTTTTCTACATATTTTTAACTTATACCGAAGCAGCCGCGTAGGTAGAAACCTAAGCACCGGGGCACCCCGACTACTATAAGGAGCTCAATAGCACCTTGTTAATTGGATTTTTGAACTGCCTAAGGTTAGTGGAACTGGGAAAAGCCTTTTCAGGAAAACTGTTTCACAATCTCAACACTCTAGGAACAAAACGGCGGTCGTACCTGCCAGTTCTGGATGAACGAAGTTCTACACTGTTGGGATGGAAGGTCGAAATCTGACAGGCTCCTGGGGGAAATCCTTGAGGAACAAAGCCCGCGGACATAGCGAAATGGTTCCGAGACTATCCATCAGAGAAGTGACATTGATCAGTCGGACAGCCCTCCTCTGATCAGTACGGAGAATTAACAACGAGTGGCATCACTCTAAACATGTGAGCAGTACTCGAGGCTAGGTTTTATCGCGGTCTTGTACGGTATTAGAAGCTCATGCGCAGAGAATTTCCTAAGCGCCCTAAACCAGAGGTTCCCAATCTTTTTCGATTTGCGGTTCCCTGATTAATCGGATTTTTTCCGCAGCGCCCTTAATACATCAGATTTTTCTGTAAATTTTTGACTTTCTGCATACATGATTGTTGGCGTTGCTGGCGCAAAGATTGGAGAATTGAAAATTGCAAGAAAACTGACAAATTGTTCAATTTAATATTTCGCGGTGACGGTACCGCCCCAGGGAGCCGCGTCTCACAGTTTGGGAATCTCTGCCCTGAACAAATAACCTAGGATGGAATTTTTCATAATAGGACAGCATGCCACATCTGATCGAAAGCTTCCAAAATGCTCGTGTATTTTTGTATTTTTCAGTATTATTGTAGATAAAAGAAAAATATTTGTTTGGCTAGGGAAACTGCCAAATAGATATGTTTCTGTTTTTAAAATGCAAAGTAACGTTTGCGATACTAAATTACTATTGAAGATTTAAAACGGGTTTAAAATCTTAGAGGCTGGCATCTAAGAGTTTAAAAATATCTCACACAGTGGCTGAGGTTAATTTTTTCGAACTGGAACTGGAGTCCTAGCAAATACTCTATCACCGTTAAAATATTAAAACTGAAAATCGGTAATTTTCACATCCAAACCTCCAACTTGAAACATGCGAACTACACATAATGATTTGCAATTTTTGGGATGAATAAATAACCTGCATGTCAGGCGCTGTCATATTTTCTCTCTCTCGCCTTACAAAACCTATAGCTACGTCCCCCACGACTAGGCTCACCTAAAAGTTGGCAAATTTGCCAAAACTGTTATCAGTATTTTATAACGTTCTGGTGGGACCTTCCGTCTCCACCACCTCCCCCTCCTCTTATACCATACATTGATGTGAATCTTAACCTCATGCTAATCCTTCTTGTACATGATACTATGCGCAACGTATTCAGATCCGAGATACGTTAACTAATGTAGAGTTGGTGTAGAGTTGAGTCACGATGTCGGTGACCCAAAAACCTCATCCATAAGGTTATTGTGTTAGTCAGTCTAGTGGTAGCATAGTAGAGGCTTTCTGATATCCCGCCCACACAATGCGCTGAACGCTGTCTATCGATTTTAAGGCAATTTAAGTACACGTTGATCACACAATGGCCGACTGTCACGCGAAACACGTATAATGTTTAATTGGAAGAGGGCGAATTTACCACCACTGCCCGACTCCATGGCTAACGGGTTGTGGTCGAACAAATAGAACGGCCCGATGACAATATCGAAGCTTGTTTGCATGAAATCCAGCCATATCGGCCGTCACGCCAAGTCATTGTGTTTGCTGTCACGAAAATTGATTTTGATGATATTAGGCATTAAGTAATAAAATCCATTATTTATCGAAAGGAGTTGGTTTGCAAAACATCGCTTTTTGTAGATTATTTAGTAGCTCGCTTGGTGTAAGCGCGATTGGTCATTCAAGGACTTCAGCATCCAGTCTTTTGGTGGCGCTCATGTCGTTGCTCTTGATATCACGAAAGCATTCGATCAGCTGCCACATGCTACCTTCTTATGCAAGGTTCCATCCTGTGACCAGCCAGAGAAGCTTTTTAGATAAGTGACCAACTCTCTGGCCGCAAGATACACAATGTCAACGAAGGTGTTCCCCAGGGATCGGTCTTGGCTCCGACATTATTCCTCTTCCTTTGATGATGGCAGGAGTGGAGAAGTTTCGTGATGTTTAGAATCGCATAAGTAATTACATACCAGCAAAATATAGATGAAATGTAATCAACCAGTGAAAAAATTATTGAAATCGGTCAATAAATGGCAGAGAAATAAATACTTAAATTTGGCGCATTATAGCGCGAAATCATTACTGTAGTCAGTTCGCGTCTGTCGTCACACTTCACTAGTGCCGAGCGTCCCGACAGCTTCTGTGCATTTATAGTCATTAGTGTATAGACAATACATAAGACACACCTCTGTGTTCGGCCCCGTGGTTTCCAGTTGTTAACTATTGAGTACTGCGTGAGTTCGTACTATTATGGAAAGCGGATTTGTAAAAGGGTTAAGTGACAATTCGCTCAAAATTGACATTTATGCAGTGATGGAAATTATTTCTTCAAATCCATCATATGGAAATAAAAGGTGTGAAACTTTGGAAGTGAGTATTTATGCCTACTGCTGCGCTATCACAACTAGCTGTAAAATGTGTCCCAATCAAATCACGCTTCATAAGTTTGCACCATTTCGTCCTGATATTTTCTTGTGAGGGTACTTAGAAAAAATGTTTATTAGGGTTTGTCATTGTTGTACAGTCAACTAATTAAACAAATTGGCGCGGAAGATGTTCAGCCTCCCACCTGTTCTCGATGTATGTGTACTTATACGTGTGTTTAGGCCGGTGGGCTGGAGGAAAGCAGACGAGCAGCGACTTCCTCTCTTGCGAGAGACCTGG